TTCATAAATCAAAAGGCAATTCCAACAAACAGTAATGATCACTCCACTCAGGATCAGACTTAGAAAATTAAAATTGAACTTTCTACTGCTTTGTGGAGATACCTTAAAATATGGCCTGTAATTTTACCATGCTTAGCTTGGGATATTTCAAATGCTTTAGGAGCTGGTCAGGGTGAGAACAGCCTAATTTTCCAAGTGCCATCCAAGCCAGACAGGCACTGTGGGGTGGAGCAAGCCTGGAGGCTCCTGAGAGTGGGCCAGGTATTCTCCCTTTTTAGAGAAGGGGTTGAGGTACATAGAGCAAGCCTAAATGCATTCCGTTTAACTAAGAAAAAACTGTAATATGATAGTATTTTACAAGAGATTATAATGAAAAGGATTTGTAGTAGCAAAAGGCATGAGGAAGTTTCATGCCTTTAAGTAGAAATCAAATAAACTGTTAAGAGAAATAAGATATCGTGTCTTAAAAGTGGGTTATGTTTAACCAGGAGAGGGAAAAAAAACCAGAAGCATCACTGTTCCTAAAAGATTTCAGGTCTTTATGGCTGTGCTTTCTCCTTTTTCTTATTTAATCCCTCTGAATCAGGTCTCATCTCCCAGGCATTATTGGGTTATGGGTGCCGTGGTCCCGGGCAGCAGTGGAATTCCTATTTCCTTCTTTTCCCAAGGAACACCCAAAGAGTGCAGCAAATGGGCCCCCCAGAATGTTGGTTTTCCTGGTGTTATCCAGCTGATCCATGGAGAGGAACAGGCACTGCTGGGTGTGTGGAGAGCACTCAGAATGAGAGCAGGACTTTTGTCCCGCCTTGGGACACCAGGAGGGGACACTCATGTTAAATAGAGGGTGTGAAATGCATGTCTCTGAAAGAGGAGACATTGGCATGAGATGTTAGGAAGGAATTCCTGGCTGTGAGGTGGGCAGGCCCTGGCACAGGGTGCCCAGAGCAGCTGTGGCTGCCCCTGGATCCCTGGCAGTGCCCAAGGCCAGCCTGGACAGGGCTGGGAGCAGCCTGGGACAGTGGGAGGTGTCCCTGCCCATGACAGGGGTGGCACTGGATGGGCTTTGAGGTGTCCCTCCAACCTCATCCATTTGTGAGTTCTGTGACCTACATATAAATTCTAACAACAGGATAAACTTGAACAGCAGGGTAAAATTCCTCAGTGTCTAAACACAGCAGCAGAACCAAGTGAGGCAGAGATTTAAGGGGGCTGGGAGGGAACTAGGAGAGAAATGCACCCAAGAAAGAAGAGGCTTCGAAGAGAATTTTAAAAGAGCAGGATGGAGGGCAGAGTTAAGATTGAGCACAAATCACTGCATGACTTCTGGATTCTTGTTTTTTTTTATATTACACTGACCTAATTAATTTTACGTAGAAAAATATGTATCACAGGCTTTTTCCTGGTCTTATCTTCCTTCGCAAAAAATTATTTCAGCTGTTTGCTCACCCATGGCATTATTAGCCACACCAAACCATTTGTGAAACAGTGGCATTTCGTGCTCAGCCTTTACACAGGACTATAAATTTAACTCAGACAAACCATCCAAGCTGGGCAGCAAGTGCAAGAGCCAGGCTCTCAGAACAGGACAGGCAAACACAGAACAGGAAGGGACTCCCAAGGATCACCCAGCCCCCGGCCCTACACAGACACCCCAACAATCCCACCCTGGGCATCCCTGGGAGCCTTGTCCAAACCTTCCTCGAGCTCTGACAGGTCAAGGACCAGGATTGTGCCTGTTCTCTGGTGGGCATGAAACAGCACAAAAGCCTGTGAGCACCAGGGATGTGACTCTGAGTCTGAACCAGACTCTGAACACTCAGAAAGGATCCTCTGTAGGGTATTGATTTGCCAGAAAACACCAAAACTTGAGACACTCTAAGGTTTTTCCAAACGGTAATGGGGTATTTTAGCAGGGAAGTTGGACTGGATAACCTCCAGAGGTCCCTTCCAGCCCCAACCTCTCTGTGATTTCTCTCTTGCCAATAATAAATGAGTAAGAGGATCCTACTTACTGAATGAGCAACGTTCCCTTTCATATTTAAATCTTCCCTGGCACTTTACCAGGCAAGAATTAACCATGTGCTGCGTAACTTATGGAAAGGGACTGTCTGAGGTAGGATGTTAGCAAGTAATAAGAATGTTATTTTGATGATTTTCATATTTTAAAAGGTTAGGCTTGATGTCACTTAATTTTCTAACTGAGCAAATCTGAACAAGCTGGGGCTGCTTTTACAATCTGTGTCTCCACAGATAGAGATTGAATATATTACTGATTCTAAGAATAGGCTTATCTTCTAAGTTTACCCCTCCTTGTTAATTCACGGAGCCTGGTGGAGCATACAGGCTTTTGGAGGGGCACAGACGATCCCTGAGGCACAGAGTCCTCCTTCCTCTTTCAGCGCTGAGCAGCAGCAACATCCAGAACACACCAGGAACACGCTGCAGGCTCCAGCTGCCAGCCCCAGGGCACGTCTCAGGCTTTAACGTATTTTTCAGGCTAATTCATGGTTTGCTGTGGAGAGGGCTCCCAGCAGGTTTGATTTGCTCCATGTCCTCTGTGGGAAAGCAGCCGGGCAGGTCAGGTTGGTGGGACCCTCCGGGAAAGCCCCCCAAGCCGGCAGAGCAGCCGGGGGGAGCAGCCGGTCCCTGCCGGAGCCGTCGCCTCTGCCCGGCAGCCGAGCCAGGCACAGCTTTCCAGGCGGGAACGGAGCCTTTTCCCTGCAATCGGGACAAGAAACAGGAAACTCTCAGCCTTAACGCGGCTCCTGCCTGCCTCAGCAGTGCTCACGGGTCCTGTGAACTCGGGAATTTCTGCCTAAAAAAGGCGCTTCAAACAGATCTCGCTGTAGGAGCTGTGCTGCTCCACTTCCACAGTCCTCGCTGTGAAACGCTTAATAAGCTTTTATTGTCTGCACATACTTTAATGAGTTTTGAGTGTCTTACTTTGCATTTTATTTTGCATATAAGAAGCAAGTACACTTGCTTTATTTATTGATTTAACCCCTGACAAATACTCTGGCTGCCTGCTACTGTGCAGGTTGTCTCAGTGAGATACCGTGATAAGCATTTCTTTCCACACAGAGCACAGTAAACTGTGCCTTAGCAAATACATTCTGAACGAACAGTATTCAGGAAAGAAATATTTTCAAGAATTCTAATGAAAAATACTAATCAAGTTCCTGAGAAGGAGGCTTGGTCTCTTCAGAGAGCAGCTAAAGACGTGTCTGTGAAGTCAGGATCTCCACTCGGACTGGAAATTAGTCTTTCATGCTTCAGTCACCTCGACAGCCACAACAGCCCTTCGCTGCACTCGTGTCAGAGCAAAAGTAAGTTTTGCCAGGAAGTTACTTCTGCCTAAAGCCAGAGTGCCCCTGGGAACTGCCGGACGGGTCTGGCTGTGGCTGCAGCCTCCCCTCACGCCCCATTTCCCCCGAGTGACTGCGAGAGGCAGGGGACAGGGACAGGAGCTGGGACAGCCAGCCTGTGCTTGGAAGCTCCGTTCCCAGCCCTGCCGGGCACCGATGGGGACGAGCGGAGCCCCCGCGCCCTGCGGCACCGGCCGCGCTCCTGAAGCAAAGGCACGTCCTGGCAGAAGTGAGAAAGAGCTGACTCCACCACGAAGGGTCGGGGCGTCAGTGACAGCAGAACAACCCCTCTAAGAAAATTTTATTTATTGTAAACTTGAAAAGTGGAAAAATGGAGAGAAGAGGTAGAAAAATTAGAAAAAAAAGAAAAAGAGAGACATAAAGAGGAAGGGAGGAGAAAATCACGTCTTCAGCTTCCTATCTTCTTCCTGCAGTATCTCCCCGTTTCCCTTTCCTACTCCCGGTTCTCACAAGCATTCCCAACACACACTTGGGATGATACAGGACCCAAAACCTCAGCCACTTTTCTTGGCTTGATGCAGCCTTAGCGGGAAGCAGCGTTTCACCAACAGAGGTTTTAACGCCAGGGATGCTGACGGGAGAGGCGGAGGGCTCTGATACTTGACTTGGGGCGTGCTGCTGGGGCGCCCAGCTCGGGGGGCCATCCCCGCCACGGGAGCCCGCTCCCCAGATGTGGCAGGGACAGCTCTGGTCCCGCAGGCCGGGTCCCCGCCCGCCTCCGCGCGCAGCGCGCTGCTCCCCGCGCCGCCCCGGGGCCCCGCTCCCGAGAGCGCTCCCGCACCTCTCCCGGGGCTCTCCCGCTGCGGGGAACGGGGCCGGAGCCGCGCCGGGATGGGGCGCGGACATGGGGCGCGGACATGGGGCGCGGGGATGGGATGCAGGGATGGGATGCAGGGATGGGATGCGGAGATGGGATGCGGGGATGGGATGCGGGGATGGGATGCGGGGATGGGATGCAGGGATGGGATGCGGGGATGGGATGCGGGGATGGGATGCTGGGATGGGATACAGGGATGGGGATGGGATGCGGGGATGGGATGCGGGGATGGGATGCAGGGATGGGATGCGGGGATGGGATGCGGGGATGGGATGCTGGGATGGGATGCTGGGATGGGATACAGGGATGGGATGCGGGGATGGGATGCAGAGCTGGGGATGCCGTGCGCGGATGAGGCGCTCGCCGAGCCCCCGCCGGCCCCCCGGAGGAGCGGCCGCCGTTACTTAAGCGCATCCCGGCGGCGGCGGGGGAGGCGGGGAGCGGCGGGCCCGGCGCAGGGACGGCCCGCGCCCCTGCCCATGCCCGGCTCCGAGCGCGGCGGGGGCGCGGGCGCTGCCAGGCGACGGGCGAGCCC